TTATTCACGTAATCGAAATATCTAGTGGGCAGGCGGCTAACAGCCCAGAACCGGTCCTTGACAGAGTTGTAATCTTATATGTGTGCAGCTTTCACCCAAGGTCGTAGGCTTCCACCGGCTACACCGGGTGAGGTTGGTGTTCTGTAAAGCGCATGCGCAAATCTTGCTTTTCGTAATCTGAAAATACAGGAGATTACACTCCGTCACTAATATTCTAATATACAATAGCAATTTTTTTTTTGTTTTTTTCCACGTGTAGTATAGAAAATTATAATAAGATACATAATGCGGTTATAATAAAATATTGTGCGATTATTTTCATATAATTAAAATTAATATTTATTTATTTTTTAGAGAATACGAGGGAAGCGGCGCTTCCAACGCTTCTAATGACGGCACGCCACTGCTTGTAAGCCATACTGATAGTTGGCACTTGATCCTTAGTTGTGTACTAATGTAGATATACCGAAGTATATCTTAGTGTAACAATAATGAATCGTATTGAGGACTTCACAATAAGTACACAGATTTTAGACCGACAATATGAATTTAATTAACAATGTTATTCTTCGCGATTACAACTTGTCTACCATGAATGTAGACGATGAAATTTTACAATTAATTACAAGAAGATTCCTATGGTTGCCGTATTCTATCGTACACTACCTCCCTATATTCTTCGGATTCGTTGCTCCCACGTGCAGTCCTTCTTTGTCTACCACGATGTTTCCAAACCGTCCGTGAGATCCTTTCGTTCTAATCTTCCAACAGTCTCAAGTCGACAGAAGCCCACGAAGGACAATCGCCCTTTCCACGTGGATGTGCTCCTTTTATATCCCTTCATTCCTCCGTTACCCAAGGTACTGTTCGCGCAGCCAATCATCGCCACGATATGGCCGTACCTTATCCCGAGAACTACTTCTAGCTGCGGAGCACTACAGTTGTTATTAAAACCATCATTTTGTTCTAAGTAGAATTGTACAGTCCTTAAATTGAATAACATACACCCAGACTCAATATATTCCGATATATATTAGAGATCGAAACAATATTTAACAGATATTGGTTTAGCTTGTAGATAAATAGTGAGAACAAATTTTATTTTTAATTGAAAAATTCAGATGAGTCACTTATAGTAATAGTATATAATTATTTTAAATAGTAAAGATAATAATTATTAATTAATTATATAAATGTTATCAAACTAAATTTATATAATATATATATATATATATATNAAAATTTTTGGTTTTTGCCTCATTAATTCAATAGACTAATATTAATAAAGCTCCTGTGTTAGTATGTTCCATTGTCATGACTTGCATTTCTTTTACAAAGCTCAAAATCATTCTCACAATACATTTTGTCACATACTGCAATGACAGACAGACTTGGAGACAATTTTCTATTTCATCCAGATTAAGTTACGTTCTTTGTTTCCAGCACCTCCTATTTCTTCATTGGATAAGTTTCCAGCTTATAGTAGAATTTAACATAGAAAATTGCTCTATTTCAAAGAATTTTTTGTTCAGGCAGGTTTTCACTTTGGAAGGTTTTATTGTATATTTTTTTAAATTAATATTTAGCTATTTTTATAAAATGTTTTATTTTTATCTGGTTCTATAAATGAATTTTGTTATTCATGTATATATTTTGACTTTTAATTTGAACACCAGGAAAATAAAGAAATTTTCAAATTATCAAATATTTAATTTGTTTATTTCAAAAAAAAAATTAAACTAGTGTTCCATAAGTTTCTGATGTTCATATTCTATATTCTTTGGAACTATTCTA